TGTTGGGAAAGACAAGGGATGCATAACACTTGAATGGTGGGGAAAATAGAGGAGCTGAACTCAATTGCAGATCATTTGGCTAAATCTGGAGTGGATAGAACTTTTTTTGTATAGTGCAAGCACTTTGCCCCCTTAAGTGGGGTATCTTTTAGTAGGTTTGTCTTGTTGTCTGTTTGTACATCCCCTCATTGTAGTACAGCACAGTAGATATATTATAATTTTCTGTAATTTTTTTTTAAAATAYCTTAGAAACAAGATGTTTTAAAATAATGACTGAAACAGAATGTAGACAACGAGAATTTAATAATAGGAGTGCAAATCAGGGTACACTTAGATTTGAGACCATGAGTTTTTATTTTATTTTTTATAAGATACCTCTTGTACTACCTTGGATTAATAATCTTTAACAAGGGAGAGAGATTGAGGATGATGTTTATCATAGAATCAGAGAGGGATGGGCAAAATGGAGGGGTGTATATGGAGTCTTATGTAATAGGTGAATACCACATAGGCTGAAAGGAGAATTTTAGAAAACAGTTGAGATGGATGCAAGGTTAAAGTATTGATACGACATGCCCTGTATCAGGCRTATCATATCGTAYCTTTAGGGGTCTGATACACCTGTTTACAGGTGTTTCTGGGAACCCCTTTTTTAATGATATATTGATTTTAAGTATTGATACACCTCTGCCAATACACAAGTGTATCGATACGTTGAACCTTGGATGGATGAATGTGAAAAGTAGAAAGGATAGGGCCAGAAATGAACTCATCTGAAGGAACCTAGGAGTAGCTCCAATAGGTCATAAAATGAGGGGAAGTTACTAAGATGATTTGAGCATGTGCAGAGAAGACTATCTACTGCACTCATAAGAAATGATCTATTACAAGTTGAAGGAACCAGAAGAGCTAGGTACAGGTCAAAAAGGACATGGATTGAAGTAATAAGGAATGACTTGAACGCTCATAATTTAACAATGTATATGACACTGAACAGAATGGAATTGTGAAATTGGGTTCRGACAATGTTTAGATGATGATGGCTAAACTTAGACACTATAGGTTTTTCTGGCAACTTTTTTCATCAGAAGTTGAACCATGTTGGCCAGATAAGAAATCTTGATAATCAGATGTTGGCTTATGATTGGTAGCACCTATATTTTAAATATCAAGCTCTAAGTCTGGTTGAACTTGARTTATATTTAAGGGATATTGCCAATTGGCCAGATAATGAATGCATTTATTTGTAGTTAGTAATCCTGWACATATTAATATGGAGAGGAAGAAATGATAAACATATAAATCTATTTTCTCGGTGCAGGTCAGGGCATTATGTGATAAGGCTAAGGAGATATTGATGGAAGAGAGTAACGTGCAGGTGTGACACTGTCTCTGTTATGCTGTTGTCATTTTCTTTTATGGTCATTTGACTCATTTCTGTTTATTGCTTATTGTTCTAATGGGATAATTGAAATATTTGTTTAAACTGGTATCTCCCTTGTTATCTGAGATTTTGTCACGTAACTTAAGTTTAAGAATATATTAGTTCAATACCTAGAATGTAGAGTCCATCTTATAAATTGTTAACATTTTCTTTTGTTCTGTTTTCTTTTGGTATTGCAGCCTGTGAAAAGCCCTGTGACTATATGTGGTGATATCCATGGTCAGTTTCACGATCTTGCAGAACTTTTTCGGATCGGAGGGAAGGTATTTAATCTAAAAAAAAAATTCTTATCCACTTTTTATAATTATTGATGGCTGTGTGAGTATTGTATGAGACCCAAAAAAGAGAATGAGGACCCACGAGAAAAAATTTTCTTATTCACTTTTTCTTATTATTTGACAAGACCCCCTTTCAACTAGTGGTATGCATCTTCATTCTTCTTAATATAAAAGATTTAAACATAAAGAAAAATGAGATCCCCCTTCCTCTTCTTCATCCTCCCCTCCTTGTTCCTCCTTATCCTCCTCTTTAGGAYGCTTATGCCTCTCTCTGAACTACACCTCATGCCCATAGTTGTCAAGGCATCACCTAGGTGCCCTTGGCTGGGCACCTTGACCTTTAGCAACTAGGCKCCCTTCTAGGCGACAAAATGACAAGACGGGCGCCTTTTATAATATCATTTATATTGCTGTATCTTATACTTTGTTTTAATGTTTTACTATTGAAATTTA